TGTCTGTGGGAAGTGATGTGTGCTTGCCTTATTACAAGTGAGTGATCCTACATTTTTGTAGCTACAGTACATTTTAAGTTTCTAGACTAGATTTAGTGTTTACATGGAGCAGTCATTAAATTAGCATGCTAAGCGGAGATTTATCCATTATGCGATGTATCACAAAACATTATTTATCTATTTCAGCTTACAAATCCTTATTCCCTGTGGGAATAGGCTCGTTGCACCAACACTGTCAGAGGGCCAGAAGATGGATGCAAACCTCATTCAGAAAGTTTTCAAGAAGGCATCTTTATATCTGAGGCAGTGGCGGCTGGTGAGAAAAAATCTTGGTGGGGCTGGTGTGCCAATAGATTTCCCTGCCTAACCCAGTACATGCATTCAAGTTAAAATTTGAAAACTTACTGCAATTCCACAATAAACATTTAATTCCCTGCTCAGAATCAACAGTTTACAGATACAGTTAACCATTTACAGCTATATTAGGTCTTATTTTGGAAAGGAACAGTATGAAATTACAATACTCAATGTCACTATTTGTCAGCAAAGACACAAAGCAGGCATACACCATACTGTACTGCCACTATCTTCAGCCAAACAGTTTCAAAATGACACAATGGGTTGAACAGAACAGAAACAGAACAGAATTTCAAAAAATGAAAAAAGTCATCAGCTGACAAAATTATGTACATGCTACAATGTTCACAGTACCTTCCACAATCCTTTCCCTCTCTTCAAAACAAATAGACTATCCTTCAAACTCACTCACCACATGACAAAATGTGTGTCTCTTTCTCTCTGTATGTGTGTGTGAGAGTGTAAATTAAGTAAGAGTGAATGGGGTGGAGGGCTCTTATTTGTACAAGAACTTTGCTCGTCTGTCTTTCTATGTGGCAAATTTCTCAATGACCCTTGTGTTGAAATCAGGAATGTCCCGTATCAGTTTTTTCTCTATGGAGAGAATAGCCAGAGCATTGAGCCAATCTTGTGCCATAGTGTTTCTAAGGAAAGTCTTAATCCTTTTTAAAGTAGAGAAACACCTCTCTGATTCACATGTTGTCAGTTTCGTACAGTTTTGGTGAATGTGTCTTGAAGGTTGTTTTCCATCAAAACCTGATAGAGAGCCAGTGAACAGTGCAACTGTGGAACTCCACGTTATCATAGATCTGTTGTGTTCCGGGGTTCCTTGTTTTCCTTGAGAGTCTGGGTTCGG